GAAGGATGTCATGCTTGGTAGGGTGGAGGGCCGACGAAAGAGGGGGAGGCCTTCAGCGAGATGGATTGATACGGTGGCTGCAATGATGAGCTCAAGTATAGCAGGGATTGTGGGGCTGGCGCGGGATAGGGCAGTGTTTCGTTCTGCTGTGCACGGGGTCGCTATGAGTCGGAAACGACTCGACGGCACTTAACAACAACTCTTTCACACACCATTTATTCCTTCAGAATTTATCAGGAATCCAGTCACTCTCACTACTTCCATTGATGCCAACTGTTTCAAGCCACCGTTATCTTCTATCTGGGTTTGCAAGAACACCAAACTGGCCTCTCCTCTCTGCTCTTGTCCCCTTCTACCTATTTCTAGCACAGTAGCCAGAGTTATTCTATTAAAAGATAGGCAGATCATAGTACTCTTCTGTATAAAACCCTCCAAAGACTTCCCATGTCACACCTCTTAAAGCTCAAGTCTAGAGAAAGGTCCACCAAACTCAAAAACTAAACTCAGTGCTATTGAGTCGATTCCGACTCACAGTGACCCCCATCAGGTTCCCAAACTATAAATCTTTACGGAAGCAGACTGCCCCATCTTTCTTCTGTGAAGGAGCTAGTGAGTTCGAACCACTGACCATTAGCAGCCACATGCCTTACCCACTATACCACCAGAACTCCTTAAAGGTCCGCCAGGTCCTGTAAATATGGCCTTCTCCTTGCCTTCTGTGTGACCTCATGTCTTATTTTTCTTCCCCTTTCTCACTGCACTCCAGGCACAATGGTCCCCTTGCTACTGCTCAAACATGCCAGGCACACTCATTCCTGAGAGCCCTTGCCCTTGCCTCCACCTGGAACATTCTTTCCTCAGATAGCCAGATAGCTCCTCCCTCTCTGCCTGAACATCTTACCCAGAGGTTACCTCAGTGAAGCCTTCCCTAACTAAGCTTACCATCTGTCCAAGAAGTACAGCCAGATTGCTCCTTAGAATCGAGGATGGTGAGACTTTATCTCACATACTTTGGACATGTTATCAGCAGGGACCAATCCCTGGAGAAGGACATTATGCTTGATAAAGTATGGGGTCAGTGGAAAAGAGGAAGATCCTCAATGAGATGGATTGACAATGGCTGTGACAATGGGCTCAAACAGCAATGATTGTGAGGATGGTGCAGGACCAGGAGGTTCTGTTGTACATGGGGTTGTTGTTACAAGTTGGAACTGACTTGACAGCACCTAATAATGACAACAACACTTGTCCGAGGTTATTCCCAACTTCCTTTGTTTTATTTTCTTCATAGCACTTACAACTATCTAATATCTATATATATAGATACAGATATATAATTATCTGTTTTATTGTTTATCTTACCACATTTAAGCAGGACATATTGACTGCTGTATATCTCCAATGCCTTGATGAATGCCAGCACACAATAATGAATGAATAATGAATGAATACAACTAAGTATTTTCTCTATTACATGTTTCCTTCTATTGATATTTAATGTATTAGAAATTAAAACTGAGGCATTTTAAAATGTTTATTATTTAAAATAATAATTCATGACACTTTAACATAAATAAAATATTCTTATGAAAAACAACAGTATTTTCTAAACCAAATGCTTCAGTGAGAAGAGTGGCTTTATTTTACATTTTTTGTAAAATTCTTTAATGTCTGGAGTAACAGAGACAGCTGGGTTCTCTTACGTGCTTTTGCATTCAACCTGTTGCAATAAGTTCTCTTGGTTGAAGTTTATGAAGAAAATCAAGCTTCACACAGATATGTAATAGGAAAAGAAAAGACCTCATGGACCCTTTGAAAGGCTGTTGTGGACCCTCAGATCACACTCTGAAAACCACTGACTTAGGATTGTGTGTGTGTGTGTGTGTTCCTGTAGCACCTACCACAGTAATAGAAATATTACTCAAGAAATAGTGAAGAGTAATTGATTTTTCACATCCCTTTCAGGATTTCCAGAAGGGGGAAGCCCAACTGTGGATGGGCCATTACCCAGCTGTTCAACTAATTCCAGTTTGTCAGAACAGGTATGAAATGAACTATCAATAAGGGCATATCCTCTGATAAAAGAGAGTGTCAAGTAAAGCAGAACAGAGTTTGTATTTTAAGTCAGTTTGTGAGTTGCCATTTGCCAGTGGGTATAGAATGCACTCTTTTGTTTTTAGTGATTAAGACCTTGCTCCACTTATTTTTATTTGCATTTCTTGAGGAACAGTTTGAGTTTCTTCAAAACTAGCAAAGAAATGTGTTGTTTTCATTATTCTTCCTTTCACATAGATTTTATTTAAACTGTAATTTCCTCAGACTACATCTGTGGAGGTTTATGATATTAAAACACATATAAGACTGTATAGTTTAAAAAGCCTAAGCTGCAGCTTTCTCGACTGTAAAATAGTGGTGATATCATCTGTTCTTGCTTTCAAAGTACTGGAAGGAAGCAAATAAGATACTATTCATAAAAAACATTTCACAAACTAAAAAGCACTCCACAAAGCAACAACAATAAGAGAAAAACAGAAACAGAGGTCGGACCTTATTTAGGAGAAAACAATAAATGATTCAGGAACCTAGCAGGATTTATTTATTTTTTTATGTGTAAATAAAACCATTAAGGCCAAATGGGGGGAAAAGCCAATTACATAATTTTTATGGTTGATCTTAAAAAAAAAAAAAGCTCACTACCATTGAGTCGATTCCGACTCATAGCAACCCTTCCTTGGGTTTCCAAGGCGGCGTCTCTACGGAAGTAGATTGCTCAAAACTCACTTTCTAATTATTGATTCAAATGTAGTTAGACCTGTCTTGGTAATGCACAGTGAGTCTTTGTTTCTCATGCTCAGAAGTTAGTGAGTCTTTTAAGGACCATCTTATGCTTAATAATGCCCTCTATTTCACAGGAAGCTGAAGTTCACTGTAAACCATGGTATGCTGGTGACTGCGATCGAAAGTCTGCTGAAGAGGCATTATACAGGTCAAACAAGGTCTGATCATTTTCAACCCATATTGTGCCCTCAGTCCAACAGGCCCAACTGCTGTCCTTATAATGTGCTAATTAAAACAATTGCAATGATCATGAATGCAGGGATCTTTTTCCTTTCCTTACCCAAGAGGGACCACCATCCTCTCTTCTCGTTTGAACATCTCCCTCTTTATTCCTCTATCTCATTTCTACTCATTCTTTCATCTCTACAAGGACCCACTGGCTCCACTGCTCCCCAGACAGTGGGAGAGAGGAAGTCTTCAATCTCTGTAAGGGTTAGTGCTACATGAGACCCATTCAGGAGTGACAAGTGACAGGCTATTTTGGATCACTGCATGGGATAAAAGATTTGGGTCAAGATGGCAAAAAAACAAACCTGGAAGTAAATTTTTGGAGCCAACTACATAGGAACACACTGGGAACAGTTTGGACAATACAAGATTAAAGTGCCAAAGCAAGTCTGCTTTCCGATTCATTTGGTTCTGCTCAAATCTTTCCTTTCTTCCGATGACTGTGGGGTTTTTTTTGGATGATCTTATTCTAATTGTTGGAGATGTTATATTAAGGTTTGATTTTTGTTCTTTCTTCTTTTTTGATGTGTGTGTTTATTACTATGAGTTGTTCTCTGAACACTTCTCATACTGTGTCCCAAAAATTTTGTTATGTTGTGCTTTCATTTTTTGTTTCTTCTTTTACCCAGTACTTTTTAAACAGAGTGAAACTTTTCCATGTTTGTTTGTTTTCCCTTGATCTTCCTTTTTGATTTCTCATTGTATAGCATCATGATCAAGGAGCTCTGGTGGCACAGTGCCTAAGGCATTTGACTGCTTACCAGAAGGCTGGAGGTTCAAATCCACCAGCCACTCCACGGAAGGAAGGCTGGGCAATCTACTTCCATAAAGATTTATCACCTCGGAAGCCCAAAGGGGGTGGCTATGAGTGGGAATCGATGGCAGCGAGTTTTCTTTTTTTGTGTTGTGTTAATTTGTTTGTTCAGTGTAATTTTCTTTGCAGAGATCATTTTGTTTATGGATTTTCTTATCATTTCCTTCATTGGTGTGTTTTAGTATTTGCTGAATCTTTATGATTTCCTTCTTTTTTTAAATTTTGCTGAGAATGTTTATTAATTTTCTTTAAAGTTATCCTGTAATTTATTATTATCTTCCAAGTATAAAACTGTCTGCTCTATGTTGACATTGTCTTGATTTCCTCTCCAGTTACAAGTTGTGGTGGTTATGTTTGTATATCAACTTGGCTAGGTCTGGTTGAGTGGCTAAGCACCTGGATGTGGCATTCCCCATAATGAGACTGGTAATCAATTCCATGGTGGAATCTACTGTGAGCAGCTGAGTAGCTGCCTTTGGGTATGTGGTCTGCTTCCAGTATATAAGAAACAGCTTTGGGGATGGTCTATAGCTTATGCCATGCTTGAACCCTGCCTGTAGCTGAGTCATTGTTCAGCAATCTGCCATGCTCTGCTGATCCTGGGACTTTCCATGGACTTGAATCAATGGCCTGCCATGTGGTTTGGTAACATTGGGACTGTGCCCTTTTATTTGTCAACCTTGAGCTTGTTAGCCTCAGCAGCCAGTAGCTGCCTGAGTGAAGAGATGCCTCTAGCTTCAGTAGGCCAGGAGCAAGAGGTACAGCTAAAACCCAAAAGGTTGAGGAGCTTTCACACAGCCCCTAGAACCTGGCTCTTGGAACTTGGACTTAAAGCCTCCAAATTGTAAAAATAAACTCCTGTTTGTTAAGGCCATCCCATTTGTGGTATATTCTTGTTAGAACAGCACTAGGTAACCAGAACAAAAATTCTCTAATATAACATTTATTCCCTTTTTTTGCTTTGTAGCTATCATCATTTACAAAGTAACATCTCTGGTTCCCTATTTTCAGTCTTGTAGGTTTGTTTTATTTTTGATACTTCTGTATCAGATGTCATATTGCACTGAGTAAATTTGCTGCAAAAGATCTCTTTAAAGTGTTGAAAAGCAAAGATGTGACTTTGAAGACTATGGTGCACCTAAACTAAGGAGGCATGGTATTTTTCCATCACCTCATATGCATGGGAAAGCTGGACAATGAATAAAGAAGACCAAAGACCAGTTGATGCCCTTGAACTTTGGTGCTGGCAAAGAACACTGAAAATACCATGGATTGCCCAAAGGATGAGCAAATCTGTCCTGGAAGAAAGTGCAGCCAGAATGCTGTTTGGAAGCAAGAATGGCCAGACATCATCTCACCCAATTTGCTCATATTGTCAGAAGGGACCATTCCCTGGAGGAGGATATCATGCTTGGTAAAGTGGAAGGTCAGCAAAAAAGGGGAAGACCCTCAACAAGATGGATTGACAGACTGACACAGTGGCTCTACAATGATGAGCTCAAGTATAGCAAGGATTGTGAGGAAAGCACATGACCAGGCAGTGTTTCATCCTGTTGTACACAGGGTCGCTATGTTAGGTACACAACACCTAACAACAGTAACATACCTGGGCTGATTTCTAGGTGATGTTGTTGTGTGTCTTAATCTCCCATCGTTATCTGCCATTATTGGCTCTATGATTGAAGGACTCCTTTTAGCAATTTTTGTAACACTGGTCTGGTTTTTACAAATTTCCTTAATTTCTGTTTATCTGGGGATGTCCTAATTTTGCAATTAAATTTGAGGGACAATTTTACTGTATACATAAGATAAATAGATCTCAGTTAGCAATTTTTTTTATTTCAGGATTTATATATGCCATGCCATTGCCTTCTTGCTTGCATGGTTTCTGCCAGGAAATCAGAGCTTAGTCTCATTCATTCCCCTTTACAGGTAACTTTTATTTTTTCCAAAGCTGCTATCAGGATCCTTCCTTTGTCTTTGGTTTTGGAAAGTCTGATTATGTGTATTGGTGATTTTCTTTTGAGGTTTATCCTATTTGGGGTTCACTGAGCTTCTTGGATGAATATCTTTTCATTTTTCATGATATTAGGGAAGTTTTCTTCCAATAAACCTTCAACAATTTTCTCAGTGTTTTCTTTTTTGTCTCTTCCTGCTCTGGACTTCCGATCATATGCAAGTTAATCCTCTTGATTGTGTCTCACATAATTCTCAGGTCTCCTTCTTCTCCTCCTTCTCTTCCTTCTTCTTCTTTTGTTCTTCTTACTGATGTCTCCTCTAACAGATTAGTATTAAGAGATTTGTCTTAAATCTCACTAATTCTGTCTTCCATTGATTCAATTCTACTCCTTTGTTCTTCCAATGCATTATCTTTTTCTGAAATTTTAGTATTAATCTTCTGGATTTCTACTTGCAGTTTTTGTGTTGTTGTTGTTGTTGTTGTTATGTGCCGTCAAGTCAGACCTGACTCATAGTGACCTCTCCTTGGGTTTCTGAGGCAGTATCACTACGAAAGTAGGACTGCCCAACCTTCCTTCCGAGGAGTGGCTGGTGGGTTTGAACCGCCAGCCTTCTGGTGAGCAGTCAAGTGCCTTAGGCACTATGCTACCAGAGCTCCTAATTTTCCATTAGTTTTGTCAATTTCTTTTTGTATGTATCTTTTAATTCTTCTAGTCTTTTGCTTGTGTTTTCTTTAATTTGTCTGTGGTTTCCCTGAACTTTCTCTCAATCCACTGAAAGTAGCTAAATACAATTATTTTGAATTCCTTATCTGGAGTTCTAATGACATTTCTTTCTCCAGAAGATTTTTGGCCCTGTATTTTGGTTACTTGTTTGAATCATCCTGTCCTATATTTTCATGTGATTTGAAATTGTCTGGTGTCTCTAACACATTGCAGCGTTAATTGTATTAGTTTGTTGATTGTATGTTGGTTTGCTTCACTCTGATATTTTGTTTTGTTTTAATCTATCCAGGCAACAAGACACACATGTTATTCTAGTCACTAGTCTGGCAGCATTGGAGGGCTCACCACCTGTCTCCAGGTAGATTTGGTAGCAAGGAGGAGTGTGGGCACAAGTCTCTAATTGCTGAATGTGCAGAGCAGCTGAGGGCTGGGTGGGTGCTGGCTGTCATCTGTCATTGATCCAGTGGTACTGGAGTGGGTGGTGGCACTCACCCAGTGGGGGTAGGGGCAGCAGATGTGGTGAGTATGGCTGAGTAGTGTCACTGAATCCCTACTGCTGGGAAAAGATAGAAAGGAAAAAAGGAGAGGTGAAGAAAGAGGAAGCAAAAAAAGAAGGCTGGAAGGAGGGAAAACTAAGAAGAAAGAAAAAAGAGAGAGAGGATGAAACAAAGAAGAAAAATAAAACAAATGTGGCACAGTACTGGCACAAGCGCTAGCTGCCAAACACAGCTGCAGTGGAAATGTGGGCTTGCTCCATGGGTCACACTGTGTGAGAGGTGGGCACTAGTGAATGCAAGGTGGTGGTGTGCTGCTGGATCAAAACAAAAGAAAAGAAAGGGAGAGGAGAGGAAGGAAAAAGAAAAGAAAAAAATAAGGGAGGAAAGCAGGAAGAACTGAAAAGGAAGGAAAAAAAAACTGGCACAAGTTTTCTCCACCAAACACAACTGCAGCAGGAGTGTATAGCTCACTCCAGGGATGGCACATCTCCATCCATAGATGTGCAGGGGAAGGCTCGCCTGATCACAGAGTGGGGGATGGGCACCCACCTCCACAGAACCCAAAAAAGGTGGGGGAGGGTGAATGGGTTTTAGGAGGAAGAAAAATACAAAAGAAAGTAGACGAAAACAAAGGGAGCAAGAATGAAGAACTAAGAAGAAGGAAAAAAGAGAAAAAAGGAAAGAGAAAGAGCAGCACGGTACTGGAGAAAGTGCTAGCCACCAAACACAGTTGCACGAGAATTCATCATGGCCTCCATGGAGCGCATACCTCCTACCAGGGGCAAGTGCTGGTGCTGCTAACTCATGGACAGCAGGGAAAAGAGGTGCCCACTCTGCGGAATTCGAAACAAAAAACAGAACGGACAAGAGACGAGAAAGGAAAAAAAGAAAAGAAAAGGGAGGAAAGAGTGAAGAACTAAGAAGAATGATAAAGAAAAAAGAAAGGGTGGTACAGCACTGATATAGGGGGTGTTTGACTGGCTGCTGCTAAGTAGGGGTGACCCTACTGTACTTTTTTTTAAATCTCATTTTTCTTCTTTCTTGGATGTGTCCACACCTTCCTTCAATGTTGTTTCTAAAATTTTCATTTGAAGCCACTTTCCCTTGAGCATCTTATAATTTCTCGATCATTTCTAAGATAGAATTGTCTTTTTCTTCAAGTTCCTTCCTGAGTTTGATCAATTTTTGTTGCATTTCTTCTTCCTGCTTTTTGTCCATAACTTTCGTATTACTGATTCTAGATTATTTTTTAGAAAATATTTAATTAAATGTGGAATGTTGTGCTCCAGTGTTTTGTTTTGTTTTGTCTTTTCTGCTTCTATATATATATGGGAGCTCTGGTGGCATAGTGCCTAAGGCATTTGGCTAACCAGAAGGCTGGTGGTTCAAACCCACCAGTCACTCCTTGGAAGGAAGACTAGGAAATCTACTTCCATAGAGATACTGCCTCAGAAACCCAAGGAGGGATATCTATGAGTCAAAAACAACTTGACAGCAGTGAGTTTGGGGTGTGTGTGTGTATAAAATTTTGGATAATTTTTATCAGCTTAAGCATTTTGATTCCCACTTTCCATTTTCTTCTTACAGTATTTTTTTTTTAAGAGAATTTGCTTGATTTTTTTCTATTTATAGGGAACTTGAGGGCATAGCTCCTAATTCAAGAGTACCCTGTAGGTTTGTTCTCATATCTTATTTAACACATCATAAAGCTAGCATTGAACGCACTGAGGATTTTCTATGAGTATATATTTTGCTGGGAGCTCTGGTGGTATAGTGCCTAAGGCATTTGACTGCTAACCAGAAGGCTGGCGGTTCAAACCCACCAGCCACTCCTCAGAAGGAATATTGGGTGATCTACTTCCATAGAGATACTGCCTTGGAAACACAAGGAGGGGTCACTATGAGTCAGATCTGACTCAACGGCAATGAGTTTTGAGATATATTTTGCTAATGTCTTTTTCTTGGAAAATAATAAAAATTAACTCTAATCAATAATAAAAGCTATATAGATAATCATTTTTTGAACGTAATGCAAGTATTCTTCATAAAATAATTTCTAACCTATGGAAATATAAATAAAAGTAACCAAAATTATGCCTTATTTTTATTTATTTTTTTTTAAATTAAACAGGATGGATCATTTCTCATTCGGAAAAGCTCTGGTCATGATTCCAAACAACCATATACATTAGTTGTATTTTTTAATAAGCGAGTATATAATATTCCTGTGCGATTTATTGAAGCAACAAAACAGTACGCTTTGGGAAGAAAGAAAACTGGTGAAGAGGTCAGTAATTTCTCTTTTAGCTTAATTCTGTACATATGTTTGAGCACAATGGCATCATACTGTATTAAGTGACAGGGATGGGAAGAAAAGATACAAGAGTCCTTGATCCTAAGCTTGCACATATGTCACAAACAGAGAACAACAAATAACACTATGCTCAGGCAATTTATCCTATGAGAGAACAGAAAGGAAGAAAGGCCGGCATAATTACAAAGTTACATCCTGGTCACTTTCATCTAGCTACTTAATGGAATCAGTCTAACCTAGGAGAATAAAAGCATTTGTAAAACAACTGAAAAGGTCTTGTGGCAATATGTACGCTCTTTATTTTGCTTTGAATAACATCTCACATGTTTAGAAAATACACCATTCTTGAATCTAAAAACACTGGTCCCGACCAAACTAAGGTTTTAAAATGTAGATTACATTTACTGTTCAACATCAGTTCAACTTTATCAGGACCATCTATTTTCCCTATGGTGGTGTAGTGCCTAAGGCATCTGACTGCTAACCAGAAGGCTGGCGGTTCAAACCCACCAGCCACTCTTCGGAATGAAGGTTGGGTAATCTACTTCCGTAGTGATACTGCCTTGGAAACCCAAGGAGGCGTTGCTATGAGTCAGATCCAACTCGGTTTTTGGTTTATGAGGAAAAGCCCTCATTTTCATTGAAATCTTTATCTTAAAAGTCTTTTTAAATTAATGTTCCTCAATGGTGATCAATGGTAGGAGATGGTAGTGACCGTGGTAGGACAGAATAATATTTGATGGATGATTTCATTCTAAAGCTTCCCTGGGAGTCTAGCTCTTCTATAAAAGGCTTAAGTGCTTCCCACTATCCTGTTTAAAGGACATTTATATGACATTCTCCCATAGAAATTTGGAGTTCCCAAAGTCTCTGACAAACAGAGACTCTTCTTGGACTACAGAGTCCTTATCCCTACTTCAAAGTAAATAGATCATATTTGCTTTATTTTTTTCACCCCATTCCCAACATATCCAGCCTATGGTTACCAAAAGAAATATTATATTCTTCATCTTTTTTTTAAAATATGTATGTTTAATTTTGTTGCTGTTGAAAATATACACAGCAGAACATAAACCAATTCTACAATTTCTACATGTACAATTCATTGGCATTAATTATGTTTTTCAAGTTGTGAAACCATCTTCATCCTCTTTCTCCAAATTGTTCCTCCTCCATTAACATAAACTCAGTTTCCTAAGCTTCCTATCTAACCTTTTGATTGCTGTTGTCAGTTTGATTCCAGATACATAGTTCTTTAAAAGAGCACAATGCTCAGAGCAGACATTCTTTATTCATCAAGCTATTTTTTTTTCTTTAAAGAAGACTTCAGGGGATGTTTTTTGGTTTAAGTTTAAAGGCAATAGTTTCAGGGGTTCATCTAGCTTCAATGGCTCCAGAAAGTATGGATTCTATGAGAATATCAAATTCTGTTCTACATTTTTCCTCTTTTGATCACTATCCTTATAGTGGTATCAAGAAGCACTGACAGAATCAATTAGAACTCTTACTTAAATAAAACTTCACTAAAAATATCATGTCTCCTACATACTTAATATTTGAATGGAAAATTAAAAGTTTGATTACATGAAGTCAATCATGTGGATATTTTTAAAAGTCCAGGTGTCTGTATTTGTGTTGCTATGTACATGGGTAGAAAAAGTAACTAACTGATTAAATATTTAACTTTCCATGCAGCTGTTTAAACTCACTCACTGCCATTGAGTCTACCCAACTTATAGCAACCCCTATTGGGTTTCTAAGGTGGTAAATCTTTACAGAAGTAGGTTGCCCCATCTTCCTTCTGTAGGGTGGCTGATAGGTTTGAACCATCAGCCTTCTGGTTAGCAGTCAAATGCCTTAGGCACTGCACCACCAGAGGTGTATGCCATGTGTAAATATAGTATTGAATAATCTTTCTTATAGCTTTGGCGACTGTCTGGTTCATTTTATTGATCATGAGATTTTGAACTCTCAAACAAGTTGTTTTTCTGTCCAGATATAAATACCTCAAACATACTGAGTTAGTGTAGAGAGGAAAAAGAAAACTGAAGGAAAACTACAGCTACATCAAATAAGCTATGCACAATTCTTCTTTCGATTAAATTACAAATATACTTTCCCCTACTCATCACTCCCTACTTCAAACATTTCAATCTCCAAATGCTAAAACAAAGCAATATTTTAAAATATCCCAGGACTAGAAGGACAAAATGAGATGTTTGTTTGTGTAAGTATGGCAAGTCTCTCCTTTGCTTCCTGGGTTCACTACACCCTTTTTCCACATGGAATCCACCTCAAAGGGTCATACATAAATGCTATTCCATTTCCTGGTCCTATAATCTATAAATTTAACTTCCAACAGCATTCACTAAAACAATATGCTATGTATGTGTATGTGTATGTGTATGTGTGTGTGTGAGAGTTAGTATAGTGATATTTATCATAAAAGGATTTCACTGGGAATTGAAGCAGAGTTGAATGATAGAAGAGAAAAAAGGAATAAAGACTAAAGGTATTCAAAGTTTCTTATCTCTCACCTCTCCCCTCAACCTAAAAAACTTACCTGGCAGTAAATTTAAGGGAGAATTTATTACATCAGTCACCTTATCTAAGATTTGTGTAACACAGCAGATAATCTGTAGCTTGTAAAAAATTCAGAAAAAAATACTTGTATGACAGTTGCATATATGACACTAAATAAAAAGCAAAACATTACATTATGACTCAATAATTTCTCTAAGAAGTTATGCTAATTGATGTTATCAGTTCCATTTTTCAGTCTTACTAATATAGGAAAAGCCAGGGTCTGCCCCTTAGAAGGTTACAGTCTTCTCCAAATTAGACTTTTTGAGGCAAAATGTCAGTTAGGAGATGAGCAACTTGACTAAGTAGGGGAAGGTGGATCTCAACTGGGTTTTGAAAAATGGGGGAATGGAGGTTGAATTTAACATCAATGTCAGTGTGTAACTCCCCAAATTTTTTTGCTCTAGTATTTTGGAAGTGTTGCTGAAATAATCAAGAATCACCAACACAGTCCCCTGGTTCTCATCGACAGTCAGAACAACACAAAAGATTCCACCAGACTGAAGTATGCTGTTAAAATTTCATAAAGAAAGAACACTGGAAGTCAGCATTGTTGCTTCAGATATTTTCCCAAACTTTCTATTTAAAATTTCAAAACTTTATATTTTACATTATGAACAATTTAGTAAGAAAATAGAAGATGGAAGAAGCTATTGAAGTGTTCACCCATTTCTTTCTAAGAAGCTCACATGGAATTATTTTATCTACTGCCTGACTGTGATGTGATGAACTGTTAATATTTGGTAAAGTTATCATGCTATTAATCGTCTCCAAATAAATTTTTATTTAAAAGAAACAGGTGTACAGTATTTTGAGTCATGTAAGACAACACCACACTATTTTCAAAATAAGAAAATAATACTCTTGGATAAAACAAAGCTGCTGAAAATTTAGGCCACCCCAATGGTTACTGATGCACTAATGTAGCTGGTATGTCTACTGTCAATGCCTAAGAATTATGTCTTGGTTAAAATTTTAATGTGTAAAAAATAAAAATATTATAAATAAAATATGATATTTGTAAGTAGCAGACAAGAAAGATATAATGATTCCTTTTTCTTGTGAATGTTCCCTACCATAGGACATGTATGTAGATATGAAGTTTCTAGAAATTATTGCTCAGGATTATGTTGTTAGCTTTGCTTATTAAAGATGATTATACCTACTTTTATCTAGATGTTTTTTAAATGGACCCTTAGCTTGACATGAAGTTCAAAATGGTATGAGAGCAAAACCAGTTCCTAAGGAAACATGCCACAGAACAAGGGCAGAAAAACAGACATTAATAAACACTACGGAAAAATAAAGATAACGTTGTGAGCAACCACATCTAGAAATGTGTTACACTTTGTCATATGAAAGCTTTGTTTTTTAACTGTATACTTTAGATAGCATTGAAATGATAAAGCAGCTAATTAAGAGAAATCCAGTAATTAAATTCACTTGATCACTGAATAAGATAGCAATCTCCAAAGGGTTGTGAACGTCTAGAAGGTAATGATTTTAGAGTAACCCCCAGACTTGCTTGTTAAAAAAAATCTATTTTTAAAATAATTTACTATATTTTGCTGTTGTTGAAAATATACACAGCAGAACATATCCTAATTCAACAATTTGTACACATACAATTCATTGATATTGGTTATATTCTTCAAGTTGTGAGACCATTCTCACCCTCTTTTTCTGAATTGTTTCTCGTCCATTAATATAAATTCACTGTTCCTAAGCTCCTATCTAGGAGTTCTGATAGCGTAGTGCCTAAGGCACATGATTGCTAACCAAAAGGCTGGCATTCAAACCCACCTGCCACTCCTCAGAAGGAAGGTTGCACAATCTACTTCCATAGTTACACCTCCTCGGAAACCCAAGTAGGGGTCACTATGAGTTGGGTCCAACTTGACTGGATGGCACATAACAACAACAAGCTCCTAACTAATCTTTTGAGATGCTATTGTCATTTTGATCCCATATAGATAGTTCTTTAAAAGAACACAATGCTCAAGACAGACACTGTTCACTAATTAAGTTAAACTAGTTTTTGGTTTCATTATCAGTAAGATGAAAGAGCAAAGACTGATGAAGATCAAAGACTTCAATATAAAGAAAACAAAAATCCTCACAACTGGACAAACAAGCAACATCAGGATAAACAGAAAAAAGATTGAAGTTGTCAAGGATTACATTTTACTTGGATCCACAATCAATGCCCATGGAAGCAAGAGTCAAGAAATCAAACAAGGTATTGCACTAGGAAAATCTGCTGCAATAGACCTCTTTAAAGTGTTAAAGAGCAAAGATGTCACTTTGAAGATTAAGGTGTGCCTCATCCAAACCATCATATTTTCAATACAGTCATATGCATGTGAAAGCTAGACAGTGAATAAGGAAGACCAAAGAAGAACTGATGGATTTGAATTGTGGTGTTGGTGAACAATAATGAAAATGCTGTGGACTGCCAAAAGAACAAAAGAACTTGGAAGAAGTACAGTCGGAATGCTCCTTAGAGCGAGAATAGCCAGACTTCCTTTCACTTACTTTGGTCATGCTGTCAGAAGGGACCAGTCCCTGGAGAAGGATATCATGCTTGGTAAAGTGGAGAGTCAGCAAAAAAGGGGAAGACCCTCAACAAAATGGATTGACACAGTGGCTGCAGCGATGGGCGCAAGCATAGGAAGGATTGTGAGGATGGCACAGGACTGTGCGGTGTTTCGTTTTGTTGTACATGGGGTCACTGTGAGTTGGAAATCACTCAATGGCACCTACCAACAAACAACAACAGCATTTGGTTTAAAGAAGACTTCATGGGATATTTTTAGGTTAAGGTTTAAAAATTACCTCAGAACAGTAGTCTTGGGGATTCATCTAGACTCAAAAGCTCCAGAAAACCTGGATTCCAGGAGAATTTGAATTTATGTTCTACATTTTCCCCCTTTTGATCAGGATTCGCCTATAAAATCTTAATCAAAACATTAAGAAGTGGTAGCTAGGCACCATCCAGTTCTTCTAGCCCCATGGCAAAGGAAGCAGTAATCGATGGAGGCAATTAGCCATACATTCCACTTCCTCCTCCTATTCCTAATTCTCCTTATTCCTTTGTTGAATAGGGATCAATTGTTGTACTTTGGATGGCTGCTCACAAGCTTTTGAGACCCCAGGCACTACACAACAAACTAGAAGATAGAACAGAAGCACTAAACATGAGATTAGGCCAATTAATTGAGTTATCCTACGAAACCATGACCCTAAATCTCCACATCAAGAAACTAAATCCCATGAGGTGTTTGGTTGTACATAGGCAGTCTTGGGAGCTGTTTTTTGTTGTTGTTGTTGTTGTTGTGAAAATATATATCAGACAACATTTGCCAATTCAACTTTTTATAGATGTGCAACTTATTGACATCAATTACATTAATTGGCTGTGAATGTGAATTTTCCATCATGTAAACTGAAATTTAATGCTACATAAGCAATAACTCCCCTGTCCTCCTCCCTCCCACCATGGCAACTACTAATAAACTTTGTTCTCTACACATTTGCCTGTTCTTATCTTTTTATATAAGTGAGGTCATATAACACTTGTGATTGACTTCACCCAGTAATCTATGTTGTAGCATGTATCAGAACTTCATATCTTTTTCTGGCTAAGTAGTATTCCATTGTATGTACCACACTTTGTTTAAATGTATGTACGCTTTCCTGCCTCTGAGCTTTATTTTTGGGCAAATACTGCCCTTTTGGTCTTGTGTGATTGATTGAACTGAGAAGTGCATTCCTCTTTGGTGATATTATTCACTTTATAGGCTTGTCTATTGTTTGGCTAAAAGCTAGTCCCCAAGGGTATGTTCGGTTCCAGGCTTGGTGTTTCAAATGCCAGTGGGGTTGCACATAGTGCACAGGTTTCAGTATGGCTTGCAGACTGAGACAGACTAAGAAGAAGGAAGAGGCCATCTACTTCTCAAAGAATTGGCCAGGGAAAACCTTATGGATAGCAGAGAAACACTGTCTGTTACATTACTAGGCAACTATATGAATAGCCCCAAAACACTTTCTGATATGGTGCAGGAAGACAAGCCACTTAGGTAGGAAGGCTCTCAAAATATGACTGGGAAAGAGCTGCATCATCAGAGTAGAACCAACCTTACTGATATAGATAAAGTAAAGCTTTCAAGACCTCCATTTGCTTATGTGGCACAACTCAAATTGAGGAGAAACAGTGGTAAACATCCATTAATAATAAGAACATGGAATGTGCAAAGTATGAATCTAGGAAAATTGGAAATTGTCAAAAATGAAATGGAATGCATAAAAATTGATATCCTAGGCATCAGTGGGCTGAAGTGGACTGGTTTTGGACATTCTGAATCAGACAACCATATGATCTACTACACCAGAAATGACAATTTGAAGAGGAATGGTGTAGCATTCATCATCACAAAGGATGTTTCTAGATCTATCCTGAAGTACAATGCTGTCAGTAATAGGATAATATCCATATGCCTACAAGGAAGATCCATTAATACTACTATTATTCAAATGTATGCACCAACCACCAAAGCAAAAGATGAGGAAATTGAAGATTTTTATCCACTTCTTCAGTCTAAAATTGACCAAATGTGCAATCAAGATGTGCTAATTATCACTGGTGACTAGAATGCAAAAGTTGGAAACAAAGAAGAATCACTGGTAGTTGGAAAATTTGGCCATGGTGACAGAAATAATGCTGGAGATCGCATGATAGGATTTTGCAAGACTAATGACTTATTCATCACAAATACATTTTTTTAAACAACACAAATGGCTGCTCTACACATGGACTTCACCAGATGGAATACACAAGAATCAGATTGACTATATCTATGGCAAGAGGGAATGGAAAAGCTCAATATCTTCAGCCAAAACAATGCCAGGAGCTGATTGTGGAACAGATCATCAACTGCTCATATGCAAGTTCAACTCGAAGTTAAAGACAATTTAAACAAGTCCATGAGAGCCACAATATGATCTTGAATATATCCTTCCTGAATTTAGAGACCATCTAAAGAATGGATTTGATGCATTGAACACTGAAAACCAGAAGAATTGCAGGATGACATCAAGGACATCATCCAGGAAGAAACCAAAAGGTCATTAAAAAGAGGGAAAAAAAAAGAAAAGACCAAAATGGATGACAGAAGAGACTCTGAAGCTTGCCTTTGAGTGGAGAGTAGCCAAAGCAAATGGAAGAAATGACAAGATAAAAGAGCTGAACCAAAGATTTCAAAGAGCAGCTGGAGCAGACAAAGCCAATTACTATAATGAAATGTGCAAAGACTTGGAGTTAGAAAACCAAAAGGGAAGAACACACTCAGCATTTTCTCAAGCTGAAAGAACTGAGGAAAATAATTAAGCCTTGAGTTGCAATATTTAAAGATTCTATGGGCAAAATATTGAATGATGCAGGACGCATCGAAAGAATATGGAAGGAATACACAGAGTCACTGTACCAAAAAGAACTGGCAGATCTTCATCCATTTCAGGAGGTGGCATATGATCAAGAACCAATGATATTGAAGAAAGAAGTCAAAGCTGCACTGAAGGAATTGCTGAAGAACAAGGCTCCAGGAATTGACAGAGTACCCATTGAGCTGTTTCAGCAAATGGATGCTCCACTGGAGGCACTCACCCAGTTATGCCAAGAGATTTGGAAGACGGTTGTCTGGCCAACTCACTGGAAGAGATCCATATTTGTACCCATTCCAAAGCAAGGTGATCCCATAGAATGTGGAAATTATAGAACAATATCATTAAT